AGTTTTATTGGACCCTCAGTGTGATGTGATCTGGAGTTCTGCCATTCACAAGGAATCCTTCTTTGCATCTAAATGGCACTAACAAAGGGGCCCAGCTCCCTCTTGACTAGGCTGTTCTTGATGTGGAAGGAAAGGGGGTGAAAAAATGTGTACAGTAGTTATGGTAAAGTATGCACATTTATAATGGCGCTTAGGTGAGCTGAAAAGCCAATTAAAAAGTGAGCCGGTGTTCAACCAGTCAAATTATTGTATTGACAGAACTTCCCTGTCTGAAAACTTTGAATAGGGAGTTGCCTGAACCAAAACCAGGTTTTCGAACAGCCTGGCGTGTTGTAAATCTTCTCAGATGGAAGAGAAGTGGAGATTATAATATAACTTAATATGTAATGTGGGCTCAGATCTGTCTCAATGTCTTGGGTAGATCCAAATTGTGAGATTTCTCAGTTTATTTTGGGCATCAGCATAAAACTACTCAGCTTTATCATCTTCTAGCACTATATTAGAACTGTTCACAGCTGCCATGTCAGTAGGTGGACTTGGAGAAATTTATAAAGCTACTCTGGCAGAACAGCGACAATGCACTGACATTACGACACCAGCTATCTGGGAACAATGCTCCAACATAAATTGAAAGCAAAAAAATAGAATATTATGGGAGTTTCATGGATGTTGTCTCTAATCCAAAAAGTTTGAGTTGTGGGAAGTTTGGGGTGGTGTCATTGTTTCTCTCCCTTCTGTAGAGAGTTGCAATGTTACAGATGTTAATTGTGCATTAATTTTTCTTATGGAGTGTGACTGCTCTTGTGTTACAGGTGATTGGTTCGCTTTTTTATGCTTACTACATCTTTGTGCGACTCTGCATCCCTCCATTTCGGAACATAAGTCAGGAACCCTTCAATCTGCGAGGGCTGGTCCTCTGCATTTTCAATTCCATCCTGCCAGGTGAGACCCAGATGGCTGTGCAACATTATAACCTTCCTCCATTTCCATTACAGGCTAGACTTGTAAAAGGAGGGTTCAGAGAAGGTGGTAAACTTCTGTCCACAGGATTTATGTGAGATGGGTGGTTTTTCATAGGGAGTGGCGAATTGGTCACTATAGCAGATATGGCTGCCCTGCAGTGCACCTATCCTGTGATAACTAAGAGGATAAGTAGCTGTTCTGTTGTTAAATAAGACTTTTCTCCATGAAAGTTCAGCAGTGGGATATTATAGCTTGAGGGCACAAGAGATTCAAACAGAACGTCAAATTTTAATTCTGGCTCCTTTGACAACTGTCTCTGCACCATAGAGCAGCCTGTGTGTCCCGTGTGGTGAGATTACCCTTTAAAAATGATAGTTATAGATTGATTAATACAAAATCTGGTTCCTCCTGTTAAACCTGTTTGCAGCAGACACAGTTTGATGGCTCTGTTTATGTATCCCTGGTCACAGATGTGTAAACCAAAAGATGTTGTGAAATGAGTCTGGTTTTTTTTTTTGTTCTGTATCCCCAGGTGTTCTGATTCTCTTCTTGGTCTTCTTTGCATTCCTTCACTGCTGGCTTAATGCATTTGCTGAGATGCTGCGCTTTGCAGACAGAATGTTCTACGAGGTAACAAGGTCTTTCTTCTGCAATGTCTGTAGATGTTGCTGCTGTTCTCTACAGATGCTATCTTTGTTAATCAACCCCAAATGAAATTATTTTAGTTTTATGACATTCCTAGAATTGCTTTCTCCAAATGAAATGGGGGCAGGAGAGGAAAAGAACTTCAGAAAACTCTGCTGCTTGAGGCATACTAGCAGCAGAAATGCTACTGATGTTCATTGTAGGGAAAGTTCCTTCTCCAGAGTCCCGCTAGATCAGGATTGAGGCATCCCAGTGGGGCATTGTGGGGGAAGCTTGGCCTGCCAATGCTTGTATTACATATTCTGTGAGTGAACAGGACTTCAGCTACCAGAGCTGTCGAATCTTTTCATTGGCATGACAATAACTTAAACTTTTCCTTCTGTTTGACCACTACAGTTCCATAGAACTCAGTTATTGGAGTAACTGTCCTACCCCTGAAAGATAAAGATGCTACAAATGCCATAACCTATGCAATCTTGCAGTGCAACTTGTTAAATTAAGTGGGATGATAGATTGTGTGGCTAGAACAAATAGTCTGCTCAGACATTTGCAAACTTAGTTTTCAAAAAAGAGTTAATGGAAGACTTGTCACTAACTCCAACTGTGTGCCCTCTTCTCTTCTTTAACTGTGTGTTACAGGATTGGTGGAACTCCACATCGTATGCAAACTATTACCGAACATGGAATGTGGTGGTACATGACTGGCTGTATTACTATGCTTACAGGGACTTCCTGTGGGTGAGCAGCAAGCCGACTTAGTCCTCATTTACCTGTCTTTGAAACACTAACCTCTTTTTCTGAAAAAGTAAGGGGGTGGGTGTAAGAGGGGAGCTAACACCATTCCTCGTGAGAAAATAAGTAGTTTGTATTGCTAGAGTCCTCATTGGCTTTGGAAGGGCACTGATGTGGAGAAGTGCTCTGGAATAGCTTTCATCCAGCAAGGTTATTTCTGCAATTATGCAGAAATCACTGAAGCGGATGACAAAGGAGGAAAATGTGGTGAAGTGTGAATTAATGTGGTGTAGCAATGGAATCCATATTAGAACTTTGTAATTGTTTTGAATAAATGAATGTCCAGTAAAAGCTCCTCCCTATTTCTATGCCAATTTTACAGCTGCCAATGTCTTGTCCTGTAGAGGTGCAAAAAAGCCTTGCTTTTTGATTGATCTGATGACTAACAAAAAGAGTCAGTGACTGACAAACTAGTGATCTGCTGACCTTTGCGGCGGGGGGATCACAGAGCCTTTCCTGCAGGATGGGAGGGGAGACTTAGGTTAAAAATTTAATTGTAAACAAACTAGTAACCTGATGGTGGAACACTGCTTCATGGTGCATTCAGGGATGTGAATGACCAAATTCGGTGTCCTGGTATGGGCAGCCACTTATGCATGTTTGGAGTACCACTGAGTTCACTGGTCTACTCACATGCATAAAGTGCAAGACTGGGGCCTAATCTAGTGCTTTTAATGAAAGGTAACAACTGAACCTAATAGTATGTTGATTCACAGAACTGTTACATTCAGGCATGGTAATATGTTGTTTAAATAGATGAGCTTTGGTGTGTTCTCAGGAAGTGAAAAGCAGAGTAGAAATCCCCCAAAGAATAGACACTTTCCTTAATCTAAGGAATCTGGAATGTGTATGGCATTTTAAATATAGAGCTCCTCATGCATAGCAGGGGCAGACCCTAACTAGTCCATTAAAATGACTAAGTGAATTAACTTCTAGTATAAAATGGAATAAAGTACAAGTACAGCTGTGTATTCGATATCTTCCCCACCCCTCTTCCCATCACCAGTTCTTTGGTAAGAAGTTCAAAGCTGCTGCTATGCTGTCTGTCTTTGCTGTCTCAGCTGCCGTACACGAGTATGTCCTGGGAGTCTGCTTTGGTTATTTCTATCCAGTCCTCTTCTGCCTCTTCATGTGCTTTGGAAGTAAGTCACCAGGAAAGAGTTTGGTAAAAAATGAAATATACAACTGTAGTAAAGCCCAGAGACTAAAATGGTGATCAGGCTCTGTTGGGCTAGTTGCTCTTCAAACACTTGCAGAAATGTTTCCTGTAGAAGAGTTCCAGTTGGAGACCCAAATCCTGCAAACACATGCGTCCAAGGGGTCCCATTAAAGAGTTACTTATGTGTTTTCAGGATTGGGGTCTAAGGAGGCAAGGGATATAAGGGCAAGAGAAATTGTTATTGCTATACAACTAGCCATATAGATATTTCCATGCATATATAACATACCAAGTTAATGTATATAAAAATGGGCAGTGAACTTATAACAACATAACTTTTCCCTTTAGCCAGCCCCTCAAGGATGAGTTACCACGCTTCTGCCTAGTAACCAATATTTTTATTTTTAAAGCAATAGCATGAGGGAGTAGTTGCTCAGTTTTTATCTTGCTACAGTGACTGATGTGTATAGGTGTAGCCTTCCAGCATTGAGTCGGAGGATGGCATCTTCCCTTTCCCCTGCCTCTTTTTGTGGGAGCATGAGTGCAAACATGTTTACTTTGTGGGTGATGTTTGTTATGGGGCAGGCACAGCTGCCTTCCACCCCCTGCTCTGCCAGCACTCTTCACTCCTGTGCTATAGCACACTACCGCTCCCGTTCTAAGCTGAGGCTGCCAGATGGACCTGGTTGTTGGCCAATTGCCTGGTAGTCTTGTAGGGAACAAACCTGCCAATGTGATACATATCACTTGTGAAAGAAGGTAATGAGCATGCTTTCCTGTGCTGTATGGACTTTTCCCATAATGTGCTATCAATACAGTGGAGACATGGAAAGCAGTCTGATGATCAAATTAATTTAGTGGAAATGAAAGGAGAAGTCAAGAGACGAATTGGCTCTTGATATGTGTTAAAACCTGAGCTTGCAGATGTCCTGAATAGTGCACCTTGATGGCTTTCTATTTCCTCTTCCAGTGGTTTTCAACTTCATTCTTAATGACCGTCGGAAAGGGCCCATTTGGAATGTGATCATGTGGACCTCTCTCTTCCTGGGCCAGGGTGTCATAATTTGCCTTTACAGTCAGGAGTGGTATGCACATCAGTATTGCCCCTTGAAAAATGTGAGTGATTAACCTTTGATTCTGGAATAACTAAGTGTACAAACAATGAGAAGGGACAAGCTTGGTTTGGGTAAAGGACAAAAGATTAGCGAGTGTCAGACTTACGGGGGAAAAGGGCGAGAAATTGTAATATGGTAGAGGAGAGCAGGAATGGACTGACATGGCATAATCTGGAAAATGGGGGCTGATGATGTAAAGAAGTTGGTTTCTATTTCACTTACTGTTTTTTTTAAACTTATGACATGAGCATAATAAGAAAAACTCCAGAATAGTACAAAATTTGAGACCTCTTACATGATTACTGACCTCTGAGATCATTTTGGAGAAGGGCTGACTCTATCAACAGAAATTAGCGAAGGTCTCTGGCTGACAAAATCTCAAGGATCTAGTATTTTACTGCCCGTTGTTCATCTTCCCTCGCACCCCCTCCTCCGCGCGCACACACATTTTCAGTTTTACTTTGTCAAGTCGTTTCTTTAAAGAAGTCTAAACAGTGCATTTTATTTCACCCTGACTGTCAGTTTTCAAGTAGTAGGCTTCCATCCTTTAAACTCTGAGCACTTTCATCCATTCAGGCAATATGTACTAGTATTACAGTGCAGGGGAGGCAACATGCTCAGCCTCCAGGATGAAGAGAAACAGTTGTGGGATTTTGGTTTTTGTTTGTTTTTTTTTGGGGGGTGGGGGTGGGGGGTTGTCTTGTGGGTTTTGTTCTGTTGTTTTTTGCATTGGTTGGGTCTGTAGGGAATTTCCCCTTGCCTTCAGCAGTGGCAATCCTAAAATAGGGAAAATAGAAACATTTTTCTAAAGTCAAACATAGACAACTTCAGTCCTAAACAAAAACCCTTCATTGTCTGAGTAGTCTTGATAGCTCAACCTGTCTTGCTTAGCACCTTGAAAAGGCATTCAGCAAGGTTTTACCTGAGGCCCATTCTAGGTGGGCTCAGAATTCAAAGTCTGGTCCTAAGTTCCCTCTAAGCTGTGCAGCTGCCTATTAAGCCCTGTGCAGGGGAGAGATGCCTCTCCCCTAGCATGGACCTGCCACGGAAGAGGCACCCCTCCCCCTCAGCCCCAGTGCAGACCTGCCAGGGGAGAGGTGCCCCTCCCCACTGGCCCCAACATGGACCTGCCCTGGACTTGCTGGGGCCGGGGCAGAGGAGCCTCTCCCTCAGCCCGGCCCAAGACTGCGGGAGTTGCCACAGGCAGGAGAGGTGCCTCTCCCCCTGCCCTGAGCTGCTGCTGCAGCAAGAGAGGGCTGGAGGGAGTGTTCTCTCTCCCTCTCTCTCTCTTCCTCTCCCTCTCCCCACCACAGCCCCAGGGCAGCCTGAACCCCCAAACCCTTCATCCCCACCCCAGAGCCTGCACCGCCCGCACCCCAACCCTCTGCCCCAGCCCTGAGCCCCTCCTGAACCTCTCAGCCCTGGCCCCACCCCAGAGCCTTCACCCCGTAGTCTGAGCCCCCTCCCGCACTCAGAACCCCTCATCTCCAGTCCCACCCCAGAGCCTTCACCCCTAGCCAGAGCCCTCATCCTCTGCACCCAACCCTCTGCCCCAGGCCTGAGCCCCCTCTCACACTCCAAACCCCTCTGCCCTACCCCCACCACATGAATTTTATGTACACCAATATGAAGGAGACATGGCATGAAACAATCAGCTGCTGTTGTAGATCTGTCTTCGCTGAAGACAGATGAATAGATTTTTTTTGTAATGGTCATAGACTAGATGCTTATGTTTACCTGAAAAAACATCTGGCTCCACCCTGCTGTCAGAATCAGTCATAGCCTCCGTGACTATCAGATGGAGAATATGTGGTGTTGCTGTCTTCTTTTCCTGTAAGGGGTGTGTGAACAGAAAAGGTTATAGACTTCAGTAGATATTACAATAATGTCCACCACTACATGTCCATGACTAACATGCTGCCTCTCTTCTGTTGTGTCTTCTAGCCCACGTTCCTGGACTATGTGAAACCACGTTCCTGGAATTGTCATATTCAGATTTAAAACCATTAAACCCAGCTTTCATCTTTCCTCCCATATCTGAAGATCAGCCTGTGCTCCTCCAAGGACAGGGACCAATGACATCATTCACTTCAAATATTTTTTTTAAGGGAAGTTGTGCCTCCTGATTATTGGAGATAAACTGTTTTTGTAACTTTACTGAGGCAGCCCAGTTGAAGTGGACTGCAGCAGGCTTCCAGGTAGCTCTCATTTCACACAGCTCTACTCAGTCATTCCCATGTCAGTCATGAAACACTGAGATGAAGGTCATGTCCATTGAATTTTGCTCGTTCCAGTGGCACTTCGTATTTTGCTACTCTTCATCCAGACAGTAGATGGGCTGGTCAGACTAAGTAGAGCTCAGCGGTAGCCTCTGTCAATCTGTTTTAGACATTCCTTCAAAGTTGTTTCCTCCTTCAGTAACTGGAGAGGTCTACAGAATCTGTATGCTCTTTGGAACCCTCCTTGTTGCTATGGTAGTATTATGTGACAGAGCAACATGTCTTTGCATCATAGCCCAAGTTTTGGTGGATGGCTTTCTATGCCCTCTGTCTGGAATTACTTTCCACAGACAGTACATAGGAATTGAAAATGGGCTGGGGAAAGTTAATTTTTAATGCTGAAGACTTTTTCTTTCTGTGGTTGGAATGATCGATCAGTTGCTACTGGCTATATGAAGATATTTGCTATACTCAAAAGTAGGGCCCTGAGTGCATACATTCTTAAACCAAAAACCTCTGTTACACTAAAGCATAAGATTGGTCCCTAAATCACAAGAGCCTGACCTCTTTGGCTGTCAGGATTCCAACTACAGCTCTTATGCCTCTAGGCTTTTTCTGTTGTGCTCTGAAGCTCATGTGACTATGAGCAGTAGGAGTTTGCTTTTTCTGACAACTTACCTCCCTGTACCCCCTAGACTAATCAATTATCTTAGGGGGTACAGAACTGCCAAATGAAAGTGAAAACTTGTTGTTGTGCATGTGTACTTACTATTCTGCATATGTTAGTATGCATTGAGTATTATGGAGCAGGTTGAAAAAATCCCATTGATTTCAGTGGGACTTAATGTATTCTCATTCAAATAGCTCCACTGGATATAATGCCCATTAATCTTGCCACATGTTGACAAGATGCTCCATAATGGCTTCCTGACACAAAAGCAGTTGAAAATAAGGGGATGAATCAAAGCCTTTTCCCCCCTTCTCAATGCTAAATCACTACTTTTGCAATGGAAAGCCGTATCTCCCTTGGAATACTTGCATCAAAAATACATGGAGTCAGGAAAAGGTCATGCCCTACTTTGGGAGGGAGAAGGGACCATTGCACTGCTACAAGGAGAAACTCTGATGAAAGGGTATTCAAACTAGGAATATTCCCTTTACCACAGCAGTTGCACATGATTTTATCTGATTGAGGTTCCCTTCCAGTTACTTCCGCTTTCCTTTCTATATGGAGATGTCAGTTCTGCAGTCTAGGTTACAAATGAGTTCAGAAACTAACCATATAACTCCTGATTATCTGAATAGCATTTATTCATTTAAGTGATGTACAGCAGGGACACAATTGAATTGTATGCTACAGTAATTAGTTTCCATTGCTTGAAGGAACCGAGTGGTAGAGAACAACTTGGCTTTCATTAAGTACTGTAATTTCACAGTTACTCAAATGTTTTTAATGGCATTTTTATGAGTGGCGAGTTGATCCTGTTGACCTCCAAGCCACAGGCATGGCTACCAGTGCTGACAATGAAAGTTATTTTCTAACCAGAGTTGAAACATAACTTCATCAGAGCCAACTATTTTGATTTTAAGTATTTTTTTCTTAGTTTTTAGTTCCTGTCCAAGAGGTAGGTCTCCTGCTCTTATTAAAAACACAACCAGGTCAAATCTGTGACAAATTCAGGTTTTGAATGTATAGGATGGATTTTTTTAATTGAACGAAAGCTTGTACTAAATATCAAAACTCTTGTTTTCATGATTTTTTTTCTTTTAATTTCAGTAGAAAAAGTTTAACAAATGTGTGCCCCCAAACATAGGACATTTGTGCTAGTATATAAGAGCCTGGAGATGAAAATCATTAGAAACTTTACTCTGTTGGTTTTTTACTTCCACTAGTAGAGCTTGAACAGTTATAATGCAGAGTAAATTAGACCTTTTTCTTTAAAAAAAAAAAAAAAAAAAAAAAAAGCTAGTAAAATAATTGAGATTATTTGTAACCTGATAGTGTCCTTTTTAAAAATAGCTTTGTGGTCAGATAGTAGCACTTCTCTTCCATCTAAGATGAATTGAAGTCAGTAGACTTTAATCATAGTTCTTAAAATGCAATGTACTGCTTATGTATGGAAATCCTTGCACTCCCCTGGGGTATGATGGATTAGAGGCTTGGGTTTCTTGAATCCTGTGTCTGATTCCTGCTACTGTGTGTCAGCATTCTCAAAAGAAGGAAGAATTGTATTTTGAGTCTTCTCTGCCTACTAGTAGGACTCTAGGTATAACTCTATGGTGCCAGTTTACCTATAATGTAGAATCTTGAGCATTAGTATGTCAATAACCTCAATGCTTGGAGCCAAAGGATTAAAGTGTATTGCAAGCAGAAGCCAGTCATTATACAGGCATGTTTAATTGCTGTAACTGGCCTTTTTTCTTGACACATTCAGTTCTTACCTTGTAGTTCAAGTCACCTGAAACCATGCCTTTAGAGAGCATTAACAACTACACTACTGACAAATTTTGCTATTTTTTGACTACTTATTTTGTGAGATTTGATATCAGCTTGAAATTCAGTTTTCATGATTGCCTTGGGGAAATACTTGAGGCCTTAGACTTTCTAGTGAAATGATTGCACATTGCTGGGCTAAATGGGAATTGAAGATACTACCTTTGAAGTGGTTTTTTCTGGGTTTTTTTTGTTTTGTTTTTTTGGTACGCTGTAGAATCCCAGAGCTATCAGTGTGGTGGTCTAGCCAGTGATTTGGCCACTTAAGGCTAACAACCTATTTGAATTCTTACTATATACACATATTAAGAGTTCTTTGTAAAATTGTGAAGCTTACTTCCACTATCTCTTAACCATCCATGAAATTGGAAGCTTCCATTTTGGAATGCCCACCAATACAACTCAACTCACTGCTCAGTAACATCACAGAAATCTGTAATAATGTGGTGAGATTTTTTTGTACCCAGTTTCTTGCATATATGAAATATGTAATAGTTCGCAAGGGTATTGTATATTTGTCCTTGTAAGAGGACTGTAGATTCATACAGAATCTTCATACCTAATGTGTCCTTTTTTGCTGCTTTTAAAAAACCCACCAAGCTATCTAGTTTCCTGTGTGAAGATGGCTTTAGAATGGAAAGAAATCCTGCCTTTGATCTCTTAAAATTGTACACTGTTCAATAAGTATTATCAAAATAAGCCTAATTGTTTTTACTTGCTGTGAAGAAATCCATGATTTGAGGCAGGGTGCCTGGGATGGGAAGAGGCAGTATCAATCTATTAATGGAAAGTGAATCATTTGCCTTGAATCTCTGAATGTAAATGAGCTGGAAGGAGGGAATGGTTTAAATGTGCCCTCTGAGAGAGCGTGCATTCTTTTCTGATGTCTCAGGGGTATGCACCTGGTCAGCAGGATACCTGCAAGTCTCTACCCAGTGCACTGGGGTCTTTGCTGTTAAGAGTAGTCGACAACCCTACTAGTCTCCTTCCTGGAGCAGACAGATTCTAATCTCTTTAGTCAGAAAGGGTGGGCGGCAGAAAGAATTCAATGTACAAATACCACTGAGTAGAGGAAACTAAACTGCACTCTACCTGTAAGTGGTATGAACAACCTCTGGTGTTACTAAGGCTGGAATAGCTGCCAAGAGATGCCTGTTGTGGAGATGTGATTCTGTTACTGTCTGCAATGTATTAACTTGTAAATGTTCTGTAAAATGTTCTGTCATGCAGAAACACTGTTTATATAATCTACTGGAATATATTTTGCTATCTAGGAAAGGTGTGTGGGTCTATTCTCTTCAGTGTCCCCTAGAGCCCATGTTACTGCGAGGGACAGGCTGCACTCCACCCTACTGGAGTTGGCAGGAGGGTGAAGCGCATTGTTCCTGGATGTTGAGGCAGCAGGGGTGAGAGACTTCTTTCCTCCTCCAGTCTATGCATCATGTTTCCGCTGGAGCCAGGCTCTGGATACCAGACAGCCACCAGGGCAACCCCGCCTGCTCAGCAAGCACCCCGATAACCTATTGCGTAGAGTCCTTGTGTGCCTACTCTGGAGCACTCTGGGATCTGTCGCAAAGCATTGTGGAGGGATATTGGAGGAGGGAGTGATTGGGAATGGGCAAGAACTCTTGTGCTGAAGGAATAAGCTCCCATGGGGCACAGGTCCCCAGGCATCTCCATGCAGAGCGTTAAGTAACTCCCAGTTCCAAACCTGCTTTCCTCATTTCTAAACTATGACAAATCCTAGGGGTCGCATCTTCTTAATCCCAGCTCCTCTGCTTTTATCCTGTGCAAGGGCCAACTCAGTGCACTTGGTCCCCCAGGCTATCATTCATTTAGATGCCAATACAAAAGGGGGAGAGTTGGCTTCTGCATTTCTGAATCTAGAGGCTAAAATTGACTCTAGTGGACTTGCCCCATGGATACATTTTGGCCCCAGCCATCTGTGATGATCTCTGTTCTTTAGGAGCCTTGTTAGGTTTCCCATCCCAGCAGGCGAGGAGGTCCAGACTTTCCATAGCAGGGCCGCTTTGCTCACTTTGCCAAGAACCCAAATGCTGTGCCTGTTCTTCAACCCTCATCTCACTACAAAGGTGTTGCCCCTTGGAACTACCGGTCTCGGCATGCAATGCACAGCAAGCTAGGATGGAGTCTTGTATGCTGGGGCCTGTAGGTTGCCTATGAATGGGCTGTCTGCTTGCCTATATCTGATAAACCTACCTGTGAAACTGTCCAGAGGCTGAATGATGCATGCTTGCTTGCTTTGGGCAGCCAAGTATGCAGCCTCTTTAGCTCTTCAATTAGGGTTGCCTGGGATCTGGTTTTTGACTGGAACACCTGGTTGAAAAGGGAACCTGGTGGCTCCAGTCACCAATGCTGACTGGGCTGTTAAAAGTCTGGTTGGCAGCGTAGTGGGGTTAAGGCAGGCTCCCTGCCTGCCCTGACTCTGTATGGCTCCCGGAAGCAGTGCTATGTCTCTGCGGCTCCTAGGTGCAGGAGTGGCCAGGGAGGCTTTGTGCATTGCCCCACCCCTAGTGCTGGCCCTGCAGCTCCCATTGGCAGGGAACCATAGCCAATGGGAGCTGCAGAGGCAGCATCTGCATGTCAAATGCATGTTGAGCCTCTCTGGCCACCCCTGTGCCTAGGGGCCACAGGGCCCTAGTACCGCTTCTGGGAGCTGCCTCAGGTAAACACTACCTGGAGCCCATCCCCCATCCTGAACCTGCATGCCCTGCCCCAAATTAGAACCCCCTCCCACACCGAAACTCCCTCCCAGAGCCCACACCCCCTCCTGCGCCCCAGCCCTGAGCCCCCTCCTGCACTCTGAACCCCTTGGCCCCAGCCCCACCCCAGAGCCCGCACCCCCAGCTGGAGCCCTCACTAGGGTGACCATGTGTCTGGTTTTGGAACAGAATACCTGATGGAAAAGGGATCCTGGTTGCTCCGGTCAGCATGGCTGACCAGGCTGTTGACTGTCAGGTTGGCAGCACCACACAGCAGGGCTGGCAGGTTCCCTGCTAGCTGCTGCACTGCGCAGCTCCTGGGAAGCAGCCAGCATGTCCCCACTCCGGCTCCTACATGTAGGAGGGTCCATGTGCTGCCCTGCCCCTCACCTGCAGGCACAGTTCCTGGGATGAGCTAGTGTGCCTAGCAGGTGGCTGTTGAGTGGTCCTGACATGCGCCTCTACTGCTGTTACTGTCCCGCTTCTCGTGCTCCTGTGGTTGGGCTCGAGCTGCAGCTCATTGCAGTCTGTTGCCCCATCGCCAGCACCCAGGAGTTGGAGGTATGTATCCCCATCTCAGAGTTCTGGGAATGGGGCTGTATCCCATCCCCCTCACTGCATCCATCCTAGCCCTGTATGCCTTAAAGCGCTCTCCTGCCCCCTCTTTCCACCTACCAGACCTGCCACCCCATGTCCCTCACTTCCCCACAGCCCTGCACCCCATTCACTTTCATACACTACTTCACTCCCATTATGTTCCTATACACCCCTGTGCCCCCCACATCCTCATGCACCTGTAGCCATCTGCCTCCCCATCCACCCTCTCCTTCACTGCTGCCTCTTACCCCTACCCTGCTCTTGTTCTTGGCATCTTTCTTTCCCCATCCTCTCCTTTACTAGCCCTTCCCCATCTATCCCCTCCAGCCCACCACCTTCCCTTCCCAGCTGGCTGTCTCTCTGTGTTGGCAAGTGCGTGCACGCATGTAAGAAATTTGTTTGTGTAGGGAAGTGCATGTATTGCTGCATGTTTATATACCTCTATGAATAAAATTTGCAGCCTAACTCTTTTATTCCTTTTGCTGGCTTGTGCACAAAAAAATTAATGTTATGAAATGAATACACACTTTTTATATCAAGTTTTTAAAAGAAGGGAACTCTAAAAGAAATATTTCTTAAAAAGTGAATGTTGACTAGTAATTGCAGAAGAGATGAGATAATATTTCATACATTTCTCCCTACCTTTGTCTAGCTACGTTCTGGGGTAGGGTAGGAGGAGGATTAGGGCTGGGGCAGGCTCTAGGTGGCACTTACCTCAAGCAGCTCCCGGAAGCAGTGGCATATTCTCCCTCCGCCTCCTAGGTGGAGGCGCTGCCCTGGCTGCAGGCGCTGTCCGTGCAGCTCTCATGGGCTGTGGTTCCCAGCCCCTAGGAGCTGTGGGGGCCACGCTTGGGGCAGGGGCAGTGTGTAGAGCCCCCTGGCTGACCCTAAATGTAGGAGCTGGAGGGGGGACATGCCACTGCTTCCAGGAGCTGTGTGGAGTGGGGCAAAGCCCCGACCCCGCTCCCTGAGGAGAGCTCCAGGCCTGCATTAAAACACCTGGCGTGTGGGAGGGGGCTCTGGACTGGGGTAAGGGGTTGGGGTGCAGGAGGGGGTGTGGGCTGAGGTCACCGGTGGTGGCTCCCGGTCAGTGGCATAGCAGTGGGGGCTAAGGTACCTCCCTGCACCCCAGAAGCGGCCAGCAGGTCTGGCTCCCGTAGGCGGAGCGGAGGTGCAGCAACTACCTCTGCCGACCGTGCCTGCCTGTCGGCACCGCCCCTGCAGCTCCCGTTGGCTACCGTTCCTGGCCCGGGGGCGTAGGGAGTCGGTGCTCAGCGCAGGGGCCGTGTGCAGAGCCCTGGGCTGGGGCCCGGGACCGGGAGGGAGCAGTCTGCCTTAGCTCGCAGCGCCCCGCCAGGCTCCCCTTCCAACGGTGTGTCCCGCTTGAAAACCGGACACCTGGTGACTCTCTCCGTGAGGGGTCGTGGCTTTGCTGAGGTGACTAAGCCACTGCCTGATCAAAGCTCTCTTTCTCCCGCCCGCTTCCCGGCTGTCCCGCTCGTAGTGCGGAAGCCGGGCGCCCGCCCGCAGGAACAGGCGCGGGAAGGAGAGTCCCGCGGGAGGGGCAGGGGCGGGGCCGGGGCGAGGCGCTACGCGGACAGCTGGGGGGGAGAAGCCCTTCGTTTCCATAGCAACACACTGAACGGCCAGGGCCGGTGCCACTGAGAGCTGGTAAACAGAGTCCTCCCAGCTCCCGGCATCGCCTGGGCGGGGCTCCTGGGGGCAGGCCCCGCTCGACCCCGGGACAGGGGGGGTGTCACTGCAGGGGGAGCGGCTCGTACCCCCGGCGGGGACAGGAGGGGCTGGCGGGTTGTGCCCCCTTCTCCTGCCCCGCCCCCTCAACCTGGCCCCTCTCGCGGGGCCAGCTCGCTGCCGCCCGCCGAGCTTCGCGGGGGAGCCCGTGGGCCCGTGCCCGGCCCTGCCCCTGGGGGCCGGGGTGATGCTGTCCGGGGCGGGGGGGAGGCTGCCCCCCGCTGGCTGACAGCGCCGTGCACGGCGCTTCGCTGCACTTGCCGGCTGCACGGGAGAAACCACCTGAACCCCTGCGGGACATTGGAGCGGGAGGAACCGTCAACAGGGTGGAGCCGGCCGCGGGCATGGGGGGCAGGGATGCTGATGAGGCAGGCAGAAATATCAAGGGTACCTTGATCCAGGCCACGCCAGAATATCACTTAGGAAAGGCACATCTTCTTTCCAAGCAGTCACTAGCCAGCGGCGGCTGTTGATCATCCCGTGATAAGGCTAAAGCCCAGGGGCAGTTAACAGTCCACTTGCTGATCTAATTATTTGTGTTGTTATTGGTAACCAGATTAAAGGAAGGCTAACATGAGATGTGGCTTGACTTTGCAAAAACGATGTATATTTGCAGCTAGTAAAAAAATGGGCTTTCCAAAGGAGTGCTTACAGGGTTGCCTCTAGGATTGTTGGCGCCACAAGCAAAAAAAATTTCAGCCGCTCCCGGTTTTTTTTCGTGCCCCCCGGATCCACCGCTTCCCCAACCCCCCTGCCTCGCCTCCTCCCCCCGGCGTGCTGCATTCCGCCCCCCATTGCTTCCTGCGGCTCCCCCCCCCTGCAAACGCCCACCCTAGCTCACCTCCGCTCCGCCTGCTCCCCTGAACACGCCGCTGCTAGGCTTCTCCCTCCCTCCCAGGCTTGCCACGCGAAACAGTTGTTTCACAAGCGGTAAGCCTGGGAGGGAGGGGGGAGAAGCGGAGTGGCGGTGGCGGTATGCTTAGGGGAGCAGGCGGTGGCTGACCGGAGGCTAGCTGGGGCGGCGGGGGTACATTTCTAGGGGCTGCATGGCCGACACCGGAATGCCGACCCTAGAAATGTGCCTCCCGGAGCACCTGCTTGTTTTGCTGGTGCTTAGAGCCGGCCCTGAGTGCTTAGTAAGCTGTGAAAAAAACTTAAATGCATCCAGTTAGGTAGATATCAAGACATAAAAGTCAGAATACAATGGGTGAAATGAGAGAGACTAGATTTTTTTGCAATAAATATGGAGGTAATTGCAATACAATTCAGATGTGTCCAACACAAGCATTGTGGTGTCATGCATGTAATAAAGGCAACTATTTTGACAAGTGTTTTACTCTCAACACAAATTGGAAACAAATAGAAAATCACATATATGAATGGGAGGATAAAGCACTGGTGATGATGGAGGAACACAGTTTGTCACTGGCTCTAATAATTTTAGAGAGCAAGGTTCTACAGTAGATTGGTTTGGCACTGGAAATAAATGAAGAAAAAGTGAATTGAAAAATAGATACTATAGCTGAATTCAGTGTAATCACAACAACTATATGTGAAATGGTTAGTGCCTGCTTCATGTTAAATATTAAAACCAAGCTTTTTAAAATATATATATACAATTTTGGATGCAAAGTTGGAAGGTCCAACTGATAACATCCAGCACTACATCTTTAACTCCCCTTTTAGTAGATGGCTTTAAGTGACTTCCATTTGGAATTGCCTCAGCACCAAAGCACCATGTCTGGTTCCCGACTCTGGCACTCCTTGTACGACACACCAAAGTTTTATTTCCATAAAAATGATGAAGCCCAGCAACAATTTTGATTTAATTTTGCTTGCAGGTTATTTCATCATTGAAAATTTCCTTGTATAAATGAATAGTAAACCACTCACCATGTCCCTCAATCAAATGCCAGTTCCTGGGCCACCATCTGCATCCAAACCAGAGGGCAGAAAAATGAAAGGTAGCTTATCTCTGGTACCTGTCAGCAGAAGTGCAGGTAAATCTCAGCTAGGGACCAGATGATACTGTATTAACTGCATGTGGGGTGTTGTTTAATAACCATTCACAAATGTCTCAGTCACCATGACTTTTGCAGAAAATTGACCTCCTACCAATCCATAGTAAGAGGTTGATAAACAGGAGACTGCAGTTTGGAAGTACCCTCTTGTTTTTATATATTCACTGTATTGAGGTGGGTCATGTGGCTCTTACATTTACATCTGTGGTTTGAATATAATTAGAACACTGAGCGGATACAAAATTTGTATCAGCAGCCGATCCACAATCCACAAAAATGATTCACAGATCTAAAGTGAATATTCACTGATTTGCAGGGCTCTAAATATAATCCAACACCTCAGAGCACCAGCAAAGGAATGGTGAATTTAGGATGCTCATCCTCTGTGAGTGCTCATCTGCGTGTGTGTAAATGTGTGCGTACTGTACTACCATATGTAAAATAACTCTGCAGATAGCAGCAGTTTGACGCCATATGCGCTGCCTGTTTGCGGATGCTGAAATTCTCACAGAAAACCTATTGCTACATACTGAACAAGTAGCAGCAGCACTGCCTGCAGAGGAGCCACAGCAGTGGGTTTACAATGGGCTCATGTTGGAGAGCTACTTCTGTGGGGCTAATTCATAATGATGGGATAAGATGATCCTTTAATAAAGATCTATTCAAAAATAGATGAGAATGGAGCCAGTTCACCATATTGTTTTGAAAACAGTGTTTCCCTCCCCAGCAAAGTGTATCAGCATCTACTGGTGGGTTTTTTCCCTGCTGTTTTCCAGAGCTCCCTCAGCTACGAAATAAATCAAGTATGCTGGACTGTTCAGGACCTCTTCCCACCTCTCTACAGTGTGATTTCATCCCAGAAGAGATCCTCCTAGCTCTGACTTCTGCTGCCAGTACTGCCTATAGCCCTGAATACTTAAGACCCCCCAAGAAAAACAAAAGTGTGAAAGACTTCAAGGTACGTACATTATCCTAGGTAGTGCCTTTTCCTCTTCAGGATAAGACCTGCCCAGAATTGTTCCATTTAGATCTATACTAGCACAGTATCCAGCTGTGCTACCAAATAGTTAAAGGAATTCTTTAGTGCAGCATGTTTTTATTCCAGCAGCTAAAAGTTTAAGTGAATTTAGTGTAGCACATGGTTTTATTAGAACAGCGTGTCTTTTCTGTATTTCTGTTGGCTAGAAGTGACTTGTTTCAATGGATCTGTAACCTTGTTAAACTTATATTACACCTGTGTTCTAATTACAACAACCTTATATGGATTTTAAGCTATTTTAAACAGGGAATTTGTCATTTACTTACCATAAAGTGCCTACCACACTTTGTTGTTACTAAAATATTAGATAACTATTTTGTCTGTATTAGTCCTGGCTTTTTCTGGTGACAGAGAGAGCTATATGGAAACTGGTTAGACTGCTGTTTTGATCTTTTCTATTTCTTGGAAACTTTATTACTATTATGATTTATTTTATTTATCATTTGTATAGCACCATAGCATGCATAAAGCTTTACAATTGGTTACTGTGCCAGTCAAAACCATCATTCTTGCCTCACAGAATGAAGACTTGAAAGGGTACACTACAATGCTCTGTTGGCCAAGCCTTCTGGATGAACTATAAATGGAGAAATTGGAGGGGCGGGGGTTAGAGAGTAGGAGATTATAGTGTTTAAGGCAAGAGGAAAATAGTACATGGACTGAAATCTTGGCAAGAGGGCTCCTGAAGAAGGGGCAAATTCTGGAGGTACTATAGCTGACAAAAAGGCAAGATTTAGTTATGTGAGGGAAGATGTGGGAGAGAACTGGAAGATAAGCATAGTATTGCAAGCTTTGAGAATCAGAAGGATGTGTGTGATGTTAACAGTGACATAAAAAGGGGAGGAGAGACTTGGGAAGTTGTGACAGGATCCCTGGGCTATAACCTGAAACTGTGGGATCGCTGTGCCCCCTTAACTCCCGAGCTTGCGCTGTCTCTCACAATGCTTTGTCAGTGACAAACAACAGAACTTCTCCCGGTGCTGTGATCACTCAGCCTTCAGCATGTGGAGCCCCACACCCCACTAAATTGCATGAATGTACTGCTCATGAATTGTACAGAGAGAGGCACCAGCCAATCACTCCAGACTCCAGCCTTGCACCCCAGAAATATACCGTTACATTGCTCAAGACTCCCTTGGACAGTGCAAGCTCATTAATTAGTTTGCCGGTAGTGGATAGTGCAACAGCCCTTTTAACACGAGCTGAAATTCCTCAAGTACTTCAACCAAAACCACACAGTTTTAGATCAAATATAAAAACAGATTTTATTAACTATAAAGATAGATTTTAAGTGATTATAAGTAGCAGGCATAGAGATCAAAGTTGGTTACATAGAAATAAAAAAATTCAGTCTAAATTCTACAGACTAAGAAAAATTTGAATCAAGCAGTCTCTCACCCTAATAAATGTTACAGGCAGCTCAGTTCTCAATACGCAGGCTGGATTTCCTTCCCAGCCTGGGACCAACCTCCCCAGTTCAAAGTGTGTGTCTTTTAGACGATCTTCTGGGTGTTGAGATGGGAGAGGAGAGAGGCCAAGTGATGATGTCACTGTCCCTCTTTTATACTTTCTTCCAACTGCTAGAAAGATAATTGCTGTGATGTGGGTTAGACAGCCCTCATTGCCTATGCATCCTCTGTGTGGAGTTTCTGGGATAGAAGATTATTCTTGGTGGGCCATCAACACCTGTCTGGCCAATGATAGTTGCTCCTCTATCCCTACTCTAGCAAGGCACCTTCTTTGACTCACCAGCCTCAGCATTTCTCCCTTTGGCAAGACAGGCCTGGGGTAAATCAACCCCTGTCTGCTGCACTGGGGCAGTCTTCATCTTCCCCATTCTGTGTTCCTTCAGCCATATTTTCTGGGTAGGATCATCCCCTTAGATCTACAACAAACAGAAGGTATTATTTCACTAGACACCAATACAAAGGGAGATACCTCCCCCTACCTCCTCATTGGGGTCGGGTATCATCCTGTGGTTTGCCCTGCGGAGTCAATCCTTCCCTTAGTAGGCGCTTAGGCTTGTCTATTTTCCCTATGAGAAGGAGCACAGCCTCTTCTCTTAGAGCTGCTTATTTGCCCACTACCACTGCAGGGGTGAGGGAGGGATAGGGACATGGGAGGGGCTTTAAAAGGGCTCAGGAAGCCCTTAATTGGAGTCAGGTGTTCCTAATTAACCTGAGGCAACCCCTTCTCAGCTGATCCTAATTGACTTGTGGTAACCCCTTCTCAGCTGATAGGGAAGAGGGCCTTCAACATTCTAGAGCTTACACCCACCCACTTCCCTGGAATTTAATAGGATACGACTGTCATGTGGGTGGGGAGCTACTGCTGTTGGGCCCAGAGCACCTTCAGTCTCTGTCTGAGCTAGCCCCCCCCCCCCTTGCTGCCTCACTAGCGGTCGCCCTGGTTGCTGCTGCCGCTCCTTGGTAGGCCCTGCTGGCCTGCTTCCCCTGCCTCTGTATCTGCTACCACCAGTGGGGTCCCTCCTGCTTGCCTGGCTGCCTGATCCCCGCCCTTGGACTGGCCATCCCTTCTCTGCTGCTTTGGCTGGTGGACCTTCCCACCCTCTGCTTTGCCCACCAGCCTCCCTGCAGCGGTTTGCCCTTTCCCCTTTCTGCCTGTATTTGGCCTGCCTGGCCCAGCAGTTTTTTGTTTGTTTGCCTGCCCCACCCCAGTCTCTAGGAGTCTATTGGTTTGTAAACCCAGCCCCAGTCCCTGTAGTTAATCCCTGTGGTATTCTGGCCCTGTCCCCAGTCTGCCTCTAGCCCATTCCCTTCTCCCCTTGCCTTCTGCTGCCCCCCTTGTCCAGCCCCTTCATTCTGTGCACCCATGTCCCCTCCCCACATGCTTGTGCTCCTTCCTCATTTATGTTGAGCCCCATTGTACAATGCACCACCCTCTGATATTGTAGTCCTTCCCCTCTCCAGTGCAGCCAAAGGAGCCGGTATTCCCATCTCATGGCATTGATTGCACTCCCCCTTCCCAGCCTTGATTGGCACCCTCCTCCCCTGCCTGCAGCCTAGTGGGGAGGTGTGATTTGGCCTCTTGTCCCCATCCCCACCGAGTATGGTGGGGGAAACAGCGGGTGGGATCCCCTGGGTTGACCCTGCTGCTCCCTCTCTGCCTGCTCCCCCGCCAACCATCCCTGCGGCTACCCTCTCGACCGCTGCTGCCAGACTGCCTATCATTGCCCCCTGCTGGGGCACTGGCAGTGGCGGGCACAGGTACAGATCCTGTTGCTGCCAGGTCTTCTGTCTCCTCCAATTCTGGGGGAGCCCCCCCAGCTGGTAGAAAGGGCCAGGGGGAAAAAAAGGGTAAAAGCCCTACCTGGAAGGCCAACCGCCCCATGGTAACGGCTGTTCCCTCTGCTGCAGCCCCACCATGAGCTGCGGCCCCTCCGCCCCTTCCCTTGCCATCCCCTCCACGAGCTCTTGACCCCCAGAGCGTATGCCCAGGAGGCCGCGGCCCCTCCACCCGCCACCTCATCATCTAACTCAGCCACTGCCTCTGTTTCCATCCCTGGTGGATGGGGCTCTTTTCCCACCCTAACCAGAAAGCACGGCGTCCGCTGCCTCCTGATGCCCACCTTGCCCCACATAGAAATGGGCGTTGGTGAGGGTGGTGGGGCCCAAGGCCATGGTAGCAGCCTCTAAGATGTATGGGAAGGTAGTCTTCTTCCTGGCAATGAAGGCTGCTGCCCAGGAAGTGGTGGAGAGGGGTCTGGTGGTGGGGGGCATGTACGTCCCCCTTGAGCCCTTGGAGGACCTGAGCATATGGGTGGTTTTCACTTCCATCCTGCTCTTCCTTCCCAATGCTGCCCTTTAGCCTTTCCTTTCGACCCTGGGAAAGCCCCTGTCAGTGATTAGCCCTCTCCCGCTAGGCTGTAACAACCCCGCCCTCGGTCACATCCTCTCGTTCCGCTAACAGATGCAGATTCAACCTCCACTGGCAGTTCATGACGGGGAAGCGCTTGAGGGGTCCTTTTTGGTGCCCCACCAAGGGGCCCGTTACCAGGTGTACTACTCTTCAGGGCAGGCCCGGTGTTACCTCTGCCAAGCGAGGGACACGTCCCCCCCACCAATGCCTCCCTGACCCTTTATACCATCATCCTTGCCCCCTGGCCTGGCCCCTGCAGGCCAGCCCTCTACCAACACCTTAGAGGGCTGGGTTCTCCTCCAGGGGAAGCAGGGCAAGCGAAAGGCACAAGCTCATGACAGAATTGATGCAGCTTGATGCAGAGTGGGAGGAGGCTCCCCATAAGACCAGGAGAGTGGCCCCTGATGCCGAGCCTTCCGTTGCACCTCCTGATAGTGTCCAACACCTAAAGCTGGCTGGGGAAGTCATGGCAGCAGCGAGAAGCAGTACCAGCCCCCTTCTGGAGTCCCTTCTTGTGGGGGCCTCGGATTGAGTCCTCCCCATCCCCTTGTCAACTGTGCCCACCATCGGCACCGAGGTGAGTGTTGCCAAGGGTATCGGGTGGGGACTTCTGCTCCATCTTGGAGGCAATTGAGGCTCTGGGTCTGACCCCGGTCACCCTGGGGGAGGACAACCCCCGGCCAGTGGGCCTCGATCTGGGCGGCAGTTGCATTACGATGCCCCCTCCTCCCCTCTCTCCCCTTCCTCTGACTGATGCCCACACTCTTACTCCTAGGGTACCCCTGAGCCATGCCCGGCTGCAGATGGCACCTTGCCTGACATCAAGCCCAGAGCGGGTGCATTTTTTTTCAGCAGGCATCCACCTTCCTCAGCTCTTTGGATCCTCATGAGTGCCTAGTCCTGGGTGGGGATTTTAACACCACCCTCGAAGAGTGGGACCGCTCGGGGACTGAGCAGAGTCCGGCTGACATGGACGTCCTCTGGGAGATCATAGACCATCACTCCCTGGTGGACGTCTGGTGCGATCATCACCTGGATGA